AGGTGCCCGGACAGAGCGGAGACGGGATGGGCTGCGGCCCCGCAGCCCCCTGGCCCTCGCTGCCCGCTCCCCCGCCGAAGCAGCCCCCAGCCGGGCAAGCCCGTGCCATCAGATTCCCCCGCTTAGATGGGGTGGCCGCTGCCAGCATAGTGCTGAGCCCCGTTACCGACCCAGCATTACCCCAGAGCTGGCACGGCGGGTGCTTGCTGGTGTCCGGTCTATGCTGGGCCCATCGTCACCCTCTCCGTGCTGGCGGCAGCGGCAGGAAAGCGCTTCTTCTAGTGTAGATGGGACCCGTGTCACCACTAAGTGGACGCAGGGTATCAGTTTTCAGCAAATAAACTCGCTCTGCGTGAAGTGAGGTAGCAGCAACACTACTCCCTGGAGAAGGCATGTCTGAAAGCGCGGTTGGCAACTGTACCCTTTTGTAGGAACGGATGACGATGCTGTCGCGTTTGGCCTCGCTGAGCAGAGGCACGAGGAAAGCTTTAGAAACCCTCTCAGGGTGATGTGTTCCTTCAGTAAATTACTGATGCCATAACAGACTGCTGTTTCTAGCGTGAGAGAATCCCAAGACTAAAGAGTGCTCCTGTATGATGTAGTTTTTGCTTTCTCCGCAGTACATATGTATGTTACAGATGTCTCGATGCTCTCAACACTAGTGAGGATTGCAGTCTGGTACAAAGAACCCGGTGGCATTTGATGGCTGTAGTTTATCTCGTTGGCTTAAGAACTCCCTCCGATGAAACGGAGGCTTTGTAACACATTGGAATTTAAATCCTTGGCTTCTGTTCAGCGAACCGGGATGAAACAGAAGTGAAGCGAGTTTATCTGCAGTGGTTGCAAACCCTTACTGTCTAATCCTAAACTAGTTGGCATGACTAATAATCTGTACATGAGGCAAGACCTTATTGAAACGTGCTTGCGTGTTCTAAACTGAGATTTAAGAGTATTGTAACAAATCTACATGGAATGATTGTGTAGTTTCTGTTTCTAGCCAGCATTAGTCCTCTCACTTTCAGCAACACGAAACCAAATCAACGTTGGCTAGAAAGAGGGTGGAGTGGGGGTAGCGAGGCTACTAGTCTGGCTGGAATACATACTCCCAGGTTAGCCAGCGGAACGGATACCTTGGTGCTTCAGAGGAGGAGGAGGAGACGATGGTATCTGGTGCACCTGCATAGCTCTGTGACGATGCGTATACTTTGACAGTGATGGGTGTTGAAAACGAAAGGCAGTTCACCACAGTGTGCCCATAGTTACGTTCGAGGGAGGAAGGCCCAGGCATCTGCTGGGCCTGTGTGAGCTCTTTCTCCTGGAACCAGAGTGCGTTATACTCAGTAGCTCGGGAGGTCAGTTTTCCAAAATTTTATAGAAGTATTTTCTAAATGTAAAAAGTATCTTTAGTTTGAAAATATTGTAATCTTTGTAACACTGGCTAACGTAGCTTTACAACTGTCCATTTCGATACTCCATATGACCGAACAAAAGGGCACAGTGTGATTTGGTAGCTGGAGGTTTTATCTAATCGATCACGTAGCCCGTTCAGCTGAAGGCATCAGTTGTCACAGCCTGCTATGTGATGCATGGGTCATTTTTCTCTTAACACGTGTGCTGAGTTGGATGGTCAACCGTAAAGATACTACAGGTCTCTTCATGTGCTAAGTGTTTCCCATTATTTCATTTTAATTTATTTTCTCCAATGTGATACGTAGCTCTTAACTTCAGCTCCATGGCATACCGATTTCCTGCGAGTCAAGTAAGCAGCCATTTGTTTGGTTGGTTTATTTTTTTTCTTTTAGTAGGAAAAGCAGATAGCTGCTACCCCACCTCATTTAACATATGTAATTGGTCCAGCAGATCTGTGCTCCCATCAAGACAATAGGCAGCATGACGTCTCTCCTTACAGACGAGACCGGTTGTGTGTCCTAGCTGCTTGAGAACGTGTGTGTCGTAACAGTCATGGTACTTTTTCTACCATTGGAATGCACTTCAGGATGTTCAGCCACTCAGCCTGCTGGACTGGTTAACTGCTGGACTGCTTGACTTCTCCAGGTTACACTGAGGTGCTAACATGCTTAATTTTAATAAAGTATATTTTGTTTTGTTATGTTTCCTGTTTCCGTGCTGTAGATATGTATTTCCGAAAGGTTGGCGGCTGTAGCTTGTCTTCTCTTTTGCAACGTTTGGGGTTTTCTTTATTCCTCACAAACTCCATGGCTGCAACAGCATCAATATCTTCTGTCTTGGGCTCTGCTCCCAGGGAACAGGCGATGGGACAGGGGGAAACGGCCTCAAGTTGTGCCAGGGCAGGTTGAGGTTGGACATTGGGAAAAATTCCTTCCCCGCAAGGGCTGTCAGGCCCTGGAAGGCCACAAGGGCTGTCCGTCCCTGGAAGGGGCTGCCCAGGGAAGGGGTCGAGTCCCCATCCCTGGGGGGATTTAAAAGCTGGGCAGAGGAGGTGCTTAGGGCCAGGGTTTAATGGTGGGATGGCAGGGTTAGGGTAATGGTTGCGCTTGGTGAGCTTAAAGGGCTTTTCCAACCCAAACGATTCTGTGATTGTATTCTATGATTATATGATTTTTACATTCGTGTGGGGTGAGGAAGGGGAGTTTGAGGTCTGTCCAGTGTATTACATGCCTGCCTGCAGCAGGGCTAGAGCTGTTTTGATGAGTAGTTGGCTGTTAGGGTGCTCGCCAAAAGTGACCAGAGCTATTTGAGCAGCAAGAGACAGGCTTCCCGCACAGGGCCTCTGCTGGAGGGACAGCACGAGCCTCCCGTGTTATGCTTGGTCCAAGGCATGGCCTCCCGTGAACCAGCCTAGCACAGGGAAGACCTAGCACGTAGGATCTTTGAATTTGTAATTCCACTTCTCAAAGTTCCTAATTTCAGATTGGTTTAGAGCTGTTAGTCCCTCAACAGTTGTTAAGTGGCAAAAAAATTCAGCTGTACCTCAAACGTCACATTTTTGGGGTTGAACTGGGAGCATTAAACAAAGCTGCATGGCAAAAGCAAACCCTTTTCCTCATGCACACTTTCCCCCCTTTGCCGCTAAATTAAGGTAAGCGAGCAACGGCACTGGCCAGTGAATTCAGAGGCTAATTCTGCAGGAAAGTGCCTTGACGTGCTAACAAATAAATTGTTACCACTCAATGCAAATGCTTTTTCTTTCATTTCAACCCCTCGCCTTTCTGCATCCTGTGTTCTAATCTAGCCTATGCCCTCGCAGTATTTTTCTTCTACCAGCTTTCACTATTTTTGGTTGCTGCATTCCTGTTGTGCGTATGTTCTCAAATGTTAGCCCTAGAAGGGGACTTGGAGAATGTTTATTTAAAATGGCTTTTATGATTGTGAGGGGGAACTTTAATTTCATATTTATAACAATCACAGTAACTCCCTTTCTGAGTTCTGTATCTATTTTTAAATTCTTCTGTTGTAGCGTGATAGCCTTTAACCCAGTGGGTTAATAATTTTATTTTACTTAAGGTCGTGAATTCTCGCTCAACATCCTTCAGCTGCAGAGCTGAATGACTGAACAAGTCACGCGTTCCCTAAGTAGCCAATATCCAGTGTTGTGGTACAAGATGCCCTACCAGTTCAGCTTTCCAGTTACAGAAGAAATCTAGAAATGTAACTCCATCTACAGCACATTTAGGCATGCAATCCTCAAATGCTGGCAACGTGAATGATGACACGGCCTTGCCTGTAATGGGGAGAGCTGCTACCCAGGGTATCAGCTGGCTGATAGGGTTTTCGGTATCTGTAGAGTTTCTGGTCGTTCCCTCCCTCGTTGCTGAAGTCACATCATGGCTGGTTGAAGCTCAGGCTGGACTGAGTGAAAACAGCTTTCCAACACATGTAGTCCCTACCCAACGGCTCTATGCGTCTGTACAGGCCACACAATCCACAACCCTGAATTAAACAAAAGAGATGTTTTTGTTGAAGGCAGTGCACCTCATCACTTGGCTCTACCCAATGCATTTGCATTTCCAGGGACTGAGGTTCCTGATCTTTAATAAGGTAAAATCAGACTGCATGAGAAGGGTGTATAAAGAGCTTTGGCCACAAAGGCCCTGGGGGAGCAAGACCTGTAGCCTGAGTTCTGTGTTGAGTTCTTCATGATCAGATACGAATGGGAAGGGACAGAGGGGCTCTCATGTGACAAGAGAAGTTAACAAGCAGAACCAAAGAGGAGACAGACAGGGAAGCTTCTCTCCAATGCAAACCCCTCTTCTCTCCTGTGGATGAAACCCGAACCTTCTTCCCTGTGTGTGCAGAACGCTTACTCAGTGCACCTGTATTTTAGAGATCAGCATCGCTCCCATTAAATCATTGGGCAGATGACCGTTTTCACGCCCTCTAGCACAGCATCTTTCACAGGGTGGGTTCCTCCAGTGTTCTGCCCAAACTCTTTATCTGCAGTTATTCTCTTCCATCATTGCAAGCCATTGTGTCAGAACTGTGCCCATGCCAACACCACCTATGTTTCCCTGTCTCATGTCCTGCCTCCAGCTTTGGAAACCACCTCCTCTTACGGTCCTTCCCTCCGATCCTACCTCTGCCCCAGGACCAGGGCCCTGATGTGATAGGGCGGGAGTTACCTCACCAGTGAGCATTGTTAGGCAGAGATTGGAGACCCCTCTAGAAAGCACAGAGCAATAGGCTGGATGGTGGATCTCTCTCCAATACAGCCTCAAGGCTTCCCTGCTCTCTATACAGACAGCAGAAATGCTGACATCCTGCTGACATATTTATTGTTCAGCTACTTGTCATTTCTACTCAGGGGATCATCAGCTCCCTGCAGCCTCCGTTTCCAGGCAAGGAGCCATGAGGTAGTGAACAACACAGTTGGCACTCAGATTTGCCTTTTTTGAGTAGGAGAAACCCGCTGGAAGACATTGTCAGTGCAATGTTAGCGTCTAGGAAAGAGGCTCAATGTCAGCCACCTTTATCTCTTTTCCTCGTACTGCCTGCAGTAGTGGACTCATCTCTTTCCAGGGTTGCGCAATGCCATTTCTCTGTAAGAAGCAGACAGGTAATGCTGAGGTTTGCTGACAGAGACCCAGGAACCTCCAGAGCTGGGCCAAAATGCCATACTTGGGCTGAGACAACCACTGAGCTGTCTTTCACGCTCAGCTCTATGAGCTCAGCTGCCCGATAATAAAGATTCCTCATCTTTAGAAGCCCTCTCCGCTGCCGCTTGAGTGAATGTAGTGCAGGCCTCTAGCAAGACGATGGGGTTTTAGACTGTTTACCTTGTTGGCAAGCATTTATTTGAAGGGTTTTTCTCTACCACCCCATACCCTGTGTGCCAACTTCTTTCACTGCAAGCAAGCTGAGCAATTCCTATTTTTCTTGAAGTAAGATTTTTCATTGTATAGCTCTTGGTAGGGGAGTTAAAAATTAATTTCAGGACCTGCAGTTCCAGCTGCGGCTCATCGCCTCCTTCCTCGCTCAGGCAATAGCCCTCTGAGCATGGGCCTGGCCGCCCTCGCCTGGAGACCCTTCTCACCGCCCTCTTTGGGGTGAAATCCTGTCCCTGTTACAACCCAGGGGCAGTTGCAGCCGGAGCGGGCAAAGCGGGCCCGGGACGGGCTAAAGGGCCCCTCAGGCACCACAGCCACGCACGCCAGCC